TATATATATATATATATATATATATATATATATATATATATATATATATATATATATATATATATATATATACATATATATATAAAGTTAAAAATCTTTCTATGGTGTGAAGTATTAACTTAAGCCTGAATTAAAACTATTATCATTACTTGAAATTGGAATTCAACTGAAAAAATGTCAATTTTGAATCTATTATAATGAAAGTCATATCATTTTAGCTTCCTTTCGATTCTAAATCCAACTGAGAAATTTATTGCATCTTGTAGAAAAGCGAATTTGAAAAATATTTTAAAAAATAACAGCTGAATCAACTTTTCTAGTATGTTAATTACTTCACTTGAGAAGCATTCGTCATAAGTAATCTCTGACATATCTATCTGGAAGTATTCAAGTGAGTCAAAAAAGTAACAAAAGGTGGGAAGGAAGTTTGATCGATGAAGATTTCTTTTAACATCTCAACAAAATTTCTCCACTCATAATGTATCTGATTAAGGCTTTTCCACTTTGATCATCCAGCATTACCTGAATGAATCAAAGCAATTTTCTCACTAGAGAATGCCATTATCAATTTTCTAGGAAATACACAGCAACAGAAGATGTGAATTATGCAGCTCACACATCTCGATCATCTTACCGTTCCGAATCGATTACTTCAAGAAGCAGCGATCGTGGCCGAAGTTCATCATCCGAAATTATCACTGTAGGATCATTCAAAATTATTACCGTTGATCCGAAATTTTATCACGGATTTCCGCTATTCAAAAATCCCAGAAATATTTATTAATATTGAAATAGCAAAAGGAATTAAAATATGCAATTATTTTATCTAAATATACATTTATATACTTATTCAAGGTTTCGGAGACCCGATCGTTGCCAGTATACATAGCAACTCAAGACTATATCCCTGAACCTGATGATACAGAATCGATATCCTTGGAACAAGGACAAATTGTTGAAGTATTAGACAAGAAGAATGCCGCCTCATGGCTTATCAGAACAAAGGTTGACGATTTCAAAAGAAAATTTCTCATTGTTTAGCAATTTTCTGAAAGAAAATATGAATTATTATGAAATCTCTTCTAGGCACGTCCACCGAAATCAGGTTGGGTACCAGGATCATATTTCGAATCACCAACAGAATATTACAAGCAACGAAAAAGAACTCGAGAACTGGTGAACAGAGACCTAAATTTAACGGATGAACAAGAAGCAATTATGAAAAGAGAGTATGTTTACCAAATTCTGAATGCTCCCCGATATCCTGCTATTTCCAGAATATGCATGACAATGTGATTTAAGGTGATTGCATCACGTCAGAATAACAAGTACTTCGGTACCATCAAATCTTGTCTTTGCTCAACTTCGATGAAAATCCCGTTTTAAATGCGGGACTAGATTTCTACTGTCGGATCAAATTTTATTTTATAGTCAAGTTTATCATGACCTATTACGTTCCGAGGAAGAATTCGTTAATGAGCTACGAACAGTTGTTGATACATATCTAAAAGCATTGGATGATATGGGTATTCCGGAAGAAGTGAAAACAAAAAAGGATCAATTGGCTATGAATCTGAAACAACTGCATAATTTTCACGCCAAGTATGTTTATTGCACCGCGAATGATTTGCTGTTTCCTCAGGTTACAGGAGAGGTCTGAGGTCAAGATCCAATCGTTCTTAATCTATTGACATTTCATCTTTGTGGTGAGTTAGTAGCAAAAGTTCACTTTTTTGCTATTAATAATTTATTTTCTAACTTCCATAAGCAAATTTAAGAATCTTTCTCCAAAATTCCAGCATAATGCTGAAAGGCCTACAATACTACTCGGATGATCCTAATAAAGTGGGCCAAACATTCACACGACTATCACGTGATTTCGACTTACATATCCAATTTCATCATAATTTACCGCATGTACAGGAATTGCTTAAGCAGAAAACAATCACCGACTTTTTTCAGGTATGTAAAGCAACAGGTATGCCATTCTGAAATTTTTTCAGCAAAAATGCAAATTTATTAAATGCAGTTTGCGAAATTTCTCATCATGTTGTCAAAAAAACATGATTAGAATTTATCAGAGAAAAAATCATGAAAACTTATCTGAAAATTTTATCATGAAAAGTCGGTTTCCATGAAGTTTCTGCGGTTCCTTGGATCACCGTAAATTGAAAATTACAACTGTAAATTTGCATTTTTCAATTTATTTGCATTACCATTAGTATCTTGTTTTAATCTGCTCTTCTATTCTTCGTCGTTCCTCTTGTACTTTTTTCATTTTAATCAAAATTTAATCACCTCTTTTCATCAAATAATTCAGAATCTTTGCTACCCAAACCAAAAAATTGGAGAAAATAAAATGGGTTTTTTATATTTTTCGAATAATTCTAAAATTAACTTGCTTAGAGTAAATCAGATCTTCAAATTTCCTTTTTCCGATCTTTACTTCTATAATCTAGCAGAAGCTCTGAAGAATTTAGCAAATCCTGCTTGTTTAAAGCGAATAATTATAATATGCTATTTTTAAATTCTCTTACTTTGAAATCCTTTAAAACAAATGGCTAATATAAAATGTTGCGGTAATTACGGGCTGCTTAGATACTGATAGTACTCTGATTTTAAACTTTAGAAATAAATACAGCTAAAGTTCAGTGCTAACTTCGTTTGAGATTAAATTTACTCAATTTATTTCAATTAGGCGTAAAACCTCCACTTATAATTTTTATTCTTAACTTATCAAGCATTTTTTTGTTTTTATTTCTTAATTTCACTCGATTTACATTTTTTTCCATTTTCTCAACAAAATAGTTCAGGATTAAATAGGATTGAGGATTAATGATGAAAAATTCCCATTTGTCACCTGTCCACTTTCAAATTTAAACTTTGGTCCATTGTTCCACTTACTCAAATGCACAAAGTTTGATGGAATTTTTATTTTATAATGAATTACATAAGTTTTCGGATAAAATCATGTGTAATTAGGTGGTAATTGACACTAATTTTTCAATTTCAATTTTCGTTTTTGACACTTCTTGTTTTTTCCGTTCATTTTGGCTCTTTATATTATTCACTACTGAAATTTTGATGATTTGAAATTTAATCTTATTATTTGAAATTCTGTAATATATGAAAACCAATAAGTCGAGCATGCAGCAAATACGTTTACTGCATATGTCATTGTCTGTTTCTCTTCGTTCGTTAGAAATGACGAATTTTTTTGAACTCTCAATAGACAATAATTCTTTTTCTTACCAGGGAAACATTTTTATCATTAAAGTATATTCAAGTCCTATCCTTTGATAAATTAAACATTTGGTTTTGATCACTACACGAATACTTACATTAAGCTTAAGTTATACATGATGTTTACCTGCTGAATATCAAATTTTAACCTTAGAAATTTCATAGTTCCAGAATTTTTTCGCCTTAATGTTGCATTTTTAAAAATCGTTTTTCAAAACTGTTTAGAAATTTGTTGGTCCACTACATTTGCAAAAACAATAAGTTTGCTATTTCTGCTCAGCTCTATTTACAACTTTTACGAAATGTGGAAATTTATTTTTCAATTTTCAGATTATTTCAAAAATTCTTAAATTACAATCTTCTCAAAAAACTGAAAAAGCGGAAATAGTACTTTTCTGCAATGAAATCTCTTAGTTTTACCGAATTTAAACATATACTTCCCGTTTTACAAAATTCCTGATATTTCTCGAAAGATTAAAAATATAAAACGAACATTTCCCAGAAAAAAAATGAAAAGTATACAAAGTTCTCATTGTTCTTGGCATTTTTCGTCTCTTCTCAAAGATTGTCTTCTCGTTACCGTTGCATACATCCATAATTTTAGGACTTTGCTGTCGAGAATTTTTCTAAAAATCAGTATTCCAATAATGTCATTCGAATTTACATCCAAACAGTTATAAACGATTTTGTCTTTTTATCGAATTCCAATTCAGAATTTGTATTTGATTATGAATTTTCCCGAATCAGCAAAATCCTTTTTCCCCAAATGTTCATCTGCAACTATGCGGGAGAAACATCATCTCATATAGGTTGGAAAATCGATTTTGTGAAAGAGTTAAAATTATGAATTGAAGATGGCTTTGTTTCACTGATTATGTTTGATAAGGTTTCATTAATGGATTCAACATGATCAGTACAATTTTTCCTATCCTATCATTGCTATCCCGCTTCTTTAGAACTTCACAAGTAATCACTTTACAACATCCGTATAATTGTTTGCAAGCTTCAAGTTTCACATGCAAAGATCCTTCTTGTAGTTTAGATATGAAAGAGGGATTGAAGTCTAGGTTCGTTTAATTTAGTATTTTTTTAATGAAAGATTTTACTAAATTCGTTATATTAATTAGTACTTCAAAAAAAAAAAAAATAGCATTCTTTATCAATAGAGTAGTAATTTTAGTAACTTTTCTACTCTTTTTGATAGATAAGTTCACGTGGATGACCTTAAATATCTCAATTAATAACTTTACATTGCTATTCCTATCCAAGCCAATCACTAGAAATAAGCCAAGTCACTTATCAGAACTAATGAAGACTGTCCGATTGTCAGTTAATACATCCGCAGTGACGGAAAAGCATAAGCTTTCGATAGAATGATAGCATTTTATTGTAGCTAACAAACATATTGATTATTTTGTTCAAAGCTTCAGAAAACAATTTTCACCTGATTTAAAGTAACTTAACTTCTGCAATTTCGATTTTTCACGAAGGTTTCCCGAGAGAATTTCACTTCCATTAATACTAAAAGTTTGCTCAATTGTCAAAATCAACAATTCCGCTCAAAATTAATTTAATGAGTCGGAGAGAAAAGGTGTCAACTTTATGGTGATAAAACAGAGGTCAAGATTGATTGTTTAAAGCGAATACATTAGTCAGTGAAGACATAAATAACATTGGTTGTATTTTGCAGTTAAACATTAGTAGACACAAATAACTATTACTTTAAAATTTAGAAAGACAAATGAGTAACAGTAAGAACCGATTGTCTCTTAGCTTAGGTATCATTGTTTTAAAAATTTTACAATCAATTAAAACTGGATTAGAATATAAGCAATAGCGTTTCTGAGCCATAAAACTCCCAATTATTATAATTAGACTATAATTAGGCTCATGTCATTTCCTGTAATGACTATTACATTCAATACATTTTTATGAGATAGAAATAAGTTCGCTTATTCCTACAGTACATTACTCTTCGGTGGTTGAAAGAATACTTTCTTCTTTCTGTTTACAAAAAGTTGTTGAGATGATTGAATCAAATCTGTTGAATCGGTGATTGTCCGGTCGTGTTATCATTAAAGTCATAAGAAATTAAGCACTTTTTGTATGTCAATGCTAGTTGAAGGCATCACAGTTTTTAGCGCATTTCATCGATTTGCTGCTCATATATCTGAGTTCTAATGATTTAGCAAAATTCAGAAAGCCAAATTGACAAACAACCAAATGATCTTTTCTGTTACGAGTTCCTTTTCAAAGTCCTTTGAAGCTTCTTTTCAATTCAAGCACTGAGATAACTGTCACTCATTGTCGCATAAAAGACATTTCTCATTACTTTACTGCTCATTTCATGAAACACTCACATTTTCCTATTCTACTTTACTTCGAATTTTGAGTGCATTGCCGATACTTTCTTCCTCACAACTTTTTGTCTAGTTTTAAGAAGATCAACTTAAATAATTGGTCCCAATTGGTCATTGCCAAATTTTGGTGACAGGTCAGTATCAGTATACCTCTTGGCTTCAAGGCCCGATTTCAATGTAATTGGTTTATGGACCAATCACATTTGATAACCATTCTTCAGTAAAATGCTTTGTTGTTGCTACATTGTTTTATGTTCCATTTCGGATTCGTAAAGAAATCGCTCGAATTTGCTTTTTACCTAAAATCACTTCATAAATCTAAAAGAAATGTTTAACAAATGGGCAATTTATAAATTATCAGCAAAAAACATATGTGAAGTAACTTATATATATCTTATATCTCAATTTGAAATATAACTTATATTTCAATAAAGTTTAACTGTGCATAAACTGCAAATACTTTTGCATGAAACCTAAAAGAAATTTGCATCATAAAAATTATTTATTCATGCTGAAAAGACGTAGGGTGCAAATAATCTATCTGTTTGATGATTTAGTTACTATATAATAAGTGAGAAATATAAGGAGGACAGTTTTATGCACCAGTAAGCTACTTAAGGCTGGAGATGACCACTAAAAAAGTAGAAAAGCAATGAAATTTAAGGGTTTAATTTCAAATTAAAGAAAAATTTTAAAGCATTAAGGAGACGGTCATTTCGAAACATTCTTAGATTAGAAAAGAAATCTATTTGAAAATAGGGTGAAAATTGTTGATTTTGTAATTTGCGTTTTCCCTGATTCTTCTTTCCAGTGAAAGTTGTATTTTCAAATACTAATTAAATTTACTTCCAACAACGTTCTAAATTACAAATGTTTTGTAAATTCGTTAATTCATCACCATCAAACCTTCAAAAATGCGCAAGAAACAGTTTGGTTTGCAATAGCATGCAAATATCGCACAAAGAATTTCCGGCGTAAACGATATTTCACATTTTCTGGCTCTATTATATTTCTTTAAAATATACCTAAAGATTAATATCATAAAATTTAAAAAACATATTTCATTTTAAATTTTGCATTTATTTTAAAAATTTCTGGAAGTTTCACAGTTACCTTTAAAAATTCTCAAGAACTGTTTCTATCGTTACTTTGCAATAATATTTTCACAATCGTGATTTCATTGCCCACTTCCTTTGCCACAATTACTCTAAAATTATCATTCTCGGATCCACATAGTACCACGAAAGTATAACTAACTAATCTTGCCATCAAATATATCGCATCAATAAATTTGTTTAAAATTTTTCTCTCTTTTCATCCTTGGATCTGTTACGTAATCGCACAATAATCTATTTTGCATTTTCGATTTTTAATACCACGGAAGTTTGAGCTTACAAAGTTGTCGAATTCTAAACAGTTAAAGATGCAACATTTTTGACTTTTGCATATCTGTGAAAATTCTGTAATCAGTAAACTTACAAAATGAATTGATCAATTCTGGAAATTAAAACAAGGTTCAGTGCGCTATCAATATTTTGCTATCAGATCTTTTCTTTCTTGTTGCATTTTTTGAGAAACATTTCTTGAATAAAATTTTCCATTACTTATTTGCTTTTAAAGTTATTTATGCAAAATTTAATAGCTATTCAATCTTGCAATGAGTCATTCATCACCCGATCCTTCTTATCCTGTATTTTTTAATCTTGTGAATCATTTCAATTTTAAATTTCCTAAGCAATTTTACTTGCAAAAAAGTGAAGTGGATGATTGTAAGATGCAATGAAAGAGCATTAATTTATCCCAAAATTTGATTTTTGTTACTCATCTTTCAATTTCTTTTTAATTTCCAATCAGAACCTTTCACTTTTTAAATCATTTATACTAAAACTCTTGCAATGATATTCAGGATTTGAGTAATAAAGTAGAAGCTGGAACAAAAACATTCGAGGAACATCTACAAAGTGTTGCCGATCGTATTGTTCAGTACCAAAATTATTTCAAGGTATTCTAAGATTTTACAGGAATTGAAAATAATCATAATTTGAACTAGGATTGAAGTTATTTCAATTTTCCCATGCAAAATTCATGCACTTTGACCTCATGAAATGCTAAATGCTAAGGCTTTTTGAAACAAAACTTTGTTTTAAAATCTGCTGAAGATAATTAAAAAAGCGCATATGCATGTCATAAGAATTTCGGTGATGCCAAAATTCTGTCTTACCACTTCATCAAAACATTTCAACACTTTTTAAATCATTTATACTAAAACTCTTGCAATGATATTCAGGATTTGAGTAATAAAGTAGAAGCTGGAACAAAAATATTCGAGGACAAAAACATTCAAAAACAGAGAAAACATTTCAACGATCTCTTCTGTAAAGTAGTATCACTGATTATTGAGCAATGTTTGAGGAATTTGTCAAATATGCATCACGGGCTAAACTAAATACAAAAACAATACAAAGAGCACTTGAACTGTTGATGTCAATACCGGAACGTGTTGCCGATATGATATATATCAGGAATATTGAGCAGTATCCTGGTGATCTGACCAAACTTGGACGACTTTATCGACATGTTAGTCGCTCATATTAAATTAACCATAATACAGGATGGATAACAATGAGAGTTTTGATGACATTGAGATAATTCAGACAAAAACATTTGCATGTTTCATGGAAGTCTAAAGATTAATGGAAATTAGTGAAAATATAATCTAGTTTGCTTTGAATATAAAATAATATCCCAAGCAATTTCCTGATGCTATTAATGAGTATTTTTCCAATTTAAGATAACTATTAGAATCGTTCGATTATGTTTAAAATAATTAACAAAATATTTGTATCAGAACAATTTATGCTAGATTTTTAGTTTTTTAAATTTTAAAGTAGACGTTTTTTTTTGCAGTTTGAAATAACTCTCGACAAATTTATTTCAAATTAACCTTTCAAATTCAAATTTAAATTTCAATTCCAAAAGCTATAAATGATAATTTCTAGGACTCATTTTTGGTCTGGGAAAGTGAGCAGCAACCCACTGAACGCTATGTATTTCTATTTAAAAACAAATTAATGTTTACGGACAAGAATAGCAGCAGAGATGTGCCATCCTACAAACATTACGCTACTATACGTGTAAGATACTCTTGTCCCTAAGAGACTCAAGTTTGATTAACTTTTTCACTTCATACGAGATGATTAATTCGATTAATGATAGAATAATTAATTATATGTACAATTATATTATATTAATGCAGCTTGATAAATATACAATACGAGTTTCGGAAGCAGAACCGGACATGTTGGAGCTTGAACCTAATGAGCCAGGACTTCCGGAGTTTCAAATTCGTGCAAAAGATGCTCAATCGATGGAGTTTGTCCGACAGGCCTGGTTAAAAGATATGAGTGAAATGAAGGAACATGATGGTATGTTCTTTTTGATCAACTTTAAATAATAAATTCTTTCCTAATTTTATTTTATCTAGAAAAATTTACGAAACAAGTTGATATTTAATTTGCGCTCAACAAATCCATGCAGGAAATGACTTCGGCGCTAGATAATAGTGGATTAGTTGAATAATTCGTCAGTTGGTATATAAATCAGTCGTATTGATGAAATTTTTGGATTTATTTCCCTTTTTGCAAAGTAATAATTTACAATTTCAATCTAAATTGAAGTTCAAATATTTTCCTTCGGAATGATGTTTAAAAATATAAGAAACTTGAAAAGAATCCAAAAAATGTTTCTGTATTCCTTTTAAATATAGATTAAAGACGAGATAATATAAAGTGATAAATGTTTGGATGAAAGCAATCATTATTTATAGTCTGTAAACTTTTGTCATTAACGAAAAGAACTTGTTTTGAAGTTTGACAGCTCGAAGTTTTTCATTTTCTTTCTCTCTTCTCTCTTCTCTCTTGCTTCTTGTAATTCTGCAGTTGCTGCTACTGGTGCTGTTAATACTTTTGATAATGTTCTCTGAGGTTCTTATAACTTGAGGGCACATCTTAAATGCGGAGGTTGTAATGTCCTCGCATGCTTTCGTTCTAAGCAGCAAAAGATGATAGAACAACAGAAATAACTGGAGTTTGGAGATGTAGTCAAACTTTGAACTAACAAAGAGATTGTTGGAACAACAGCGCTGCTCTCATCAAGAAACACGAATTCTTTCATCCAGAGATTCCTACCATCTTCTCCATCTCCGCCACTTAGTCAGCTATCGAATAAGCTAGCAAGTACTCAAAACGAACGAATTCAACTAACTCTTACACTCTATAATCTTTTTCTTTATTTCTTCACATTCTATCTACAGATCATCTCCAATCATCACTTCCAATAAATAACATTTTTCGTATAGTATGCCAGTTTGAGCAGCTATAAGCTCACTCTACCTTCACCTTCAGACTAGAGGGTATTCGCTCTCGACCATCGACCTCTCGTTCGTCCGTCTCTTTTATTCCCCTTCCTTCTCCACATCATACCACTAGAGCGTTACGTTGTTAGCAAAAATTCATTCTGCTTATTTGTAAATATGCAAATTTCCCCCGTAATTTACCAGTGTGAAAGCAGAAGAATTCTAATATTTCGAACTGGAACCTGATCCTGTTCATTTCTTCAGTACAAACTAATACGTTGAATTCTAACTGCTAACTTCTAATAAGCTGTTCGTTTACGTGTCAACATTTCTTCTTACTGCGGGTATAGAAGATTTGAAGTTTCACAGCTACGAGCATTTGAACCCCTCTGAATTCAGATTTCAATTTTTAAAAAAAAGTAATTAAATATGGTGCTTCGCTGTTTGTATATAATTGAACTCATGGATGCCGAGGAAGGTGGTCTGGAACTAGTGGATCCATCATGGTGTAAGTACTTCTTTCCCAAATTTTGTTGCTATTAAAATTTTTAAAATATCAGAACATGACATGGAAGTGGAAACAATCAGTGAATTAGATGTAACGATGAGTGATATCCGATCTGAATTCAGCGAATATTCTACAATTTCCAGAAGCTTGTTTGGTATGATTGATGCCAAGTTTCGACTTCAAGAAAACGAGAACTGAAATCGAATTTTGAATTTCATAAAATAATGCAAATTTTGTAACCTATCAATTAGACTTTTGTTATTGAATTTTATATTTCTAACCCTTCAAAACACTTGTTTTCAGGTCCCGAAGAAGGACCACCGCGGAAGAAAATTAAATCACCGCCAGTCATATCCCCAACCGCTTCAACAACCAGTTTGTACAGTGGTGGTAGCAGTTCAATCGATTGGAGTTAGCAATTTTTAGACTTCAAGTTTAGAAATCTTGAATTCAAAATTTATTGAAAATGCTTGAACTACAATGTGCATTACATTTGCACCTCCTCTGCGGACTAAAATACATTTCCTGCAAAAAGTGATTTAAATTTAGTAATTGTATGAAAAATTTGATAACTTATTTAAAAGTTTGATTTAATAAAGGTTTAGCTTTTAAACTGATTATTTTCAGCGACAACGGGTACCACTTTAGACATGCAAGGTACGCGTGTTACCAGAACTCAATATGGTTTCAGGACACTACAAGAATCATCAGCAAAGATGTGTCTTAAAGTCACCGGTTATCCATTACCTGAAATCACTTGGTAATTACTTTTTGGCATGATAAAATAATCTAAAACTGGCACTGCATAAAGGGGTATTTTAGGTTCCTAATATAAACATCTTTCTAAAAATTTTATTTACTATAATATAGGATTCTGAATCTTGCGGCAAGTGACCACCGGAAGATGACCTTTACTCTGTATGCTTTAAAATGTAACATATGATTAATCGGTTTGTTAGAACTCTAAGAATTAATTAGATTTCAGGTATAAAGATGAACAGATGTTGCATGAAGATGAGAGGCATACATTCTATGCAGATGAAGACGGGTTTTTTGCCTTGACCATAGATCCGGTACAGGTTGAAGATACCGGACGGTATACGTGCATGGCCACTAATGAATATGGACAAGCGTCCACGTCCGCATTCTTCAAGGTGTTGAAAGGTAATTTTGCAATGTTTGAATACAGCAGTTTACTTTCCATCAAAAGGTTATTCACTATTAAAAGTTTAAAATCATTGTTAGAAATCATTCCGTATAAAACATACCAATATCGATTTTTTACAATCATTGAGTCATACTTGCTTGCTATTCCGAACAACGATTCTCAGTCAGTGTTGAAGTGATGAATTCATGGATATGACAAACACAACTGCTGATTACAAATAATTCAAATAAGAAAAATCTGAAATTAAATACCTAAGTATAAAATGTCAAATAACAGCATATATTTATACTTTTTTGCATATTTAATTGACTTTACAAGATAATTATGTCCTCCGAAAGAATTATTTTGCACTGTAGCCTACATAGATCAATAATGTATGTTGTTTGAAACATGGAAGTATCTACTAATTTTCAAAGTTTCAACTCGAGGTGAGAAGAATAGAAAATAATTAGTAAGCATGCGCTGTTGACAAATCAATCAATAACCAATTTTCAATTACTCTATTCATTTGGGTACTGAAACGTTAAAAATATTTAACAAGGAAGAATATCTATCTGTTTGAGCAGCGGTCCAAAGAATGTTCAGTTACAAAATGTTCCACCATATTTTTGATACTACCAAAGATAACTGAAACAAAAGAAATCTTTATGGAATTATTTCAGTTGAGAAGGAAGCTGCACCACCAGCATTTGTCACAATGCTGCAAGATCAAGAAGTGAAAGAGGGCGAAGTGGTGTCGTTTGAGTGTGAGGTAACTTAGGAAAATCAGTTTAATTCAATAGTCTCGCCTTGTCATTAGGCTATTGAAAATTACACTTCATCCTAGTTGAAATGTCGAAATTTTTCAAGCACAAAATTACAAAAAATTTTTCTGTAGTTCATCGATATTTCCATTTATCAAAATGTAGACAAATAATTAATGGCAGTAGTAATTTTGAATAGATCTCTACTTGAATATGTGAAGAGATAGTTAATGTTAAGGTGGAGGGATGGCCTGAACCAGAATTGGTCTGGTTGGTCGATGAACAACCACTTCGACCATCGCACGATTTTAAATTAGAATACGATGGACAAAATGCTAAACTAGAGATTCGCGATGCTCAACCCGAAGATACTGGGATCTATACAGTACGAATCAAGAATGAATACGGTTCAGCTGAATCAAACGCTAAGTTAACAGTGGAACCGGATCCAGACAAAAATCACATCGCACCTGAATTCCAGGTTCTTCCTTTGCAATAATTTCTGGATCAAAATGTCATATACGTAATAATTGGAAATCTGGAACTTAGTCATTAATCTATTTTTGTGCGGTATGCAAGTTTGGATGATATCATTTCTTCACTGATTGCACTTCTTTGATTTTTTTCTTAAATCTTGGCAGGTTACCCAGTATTTTCGCGAAAACAATTATAAACATACTGATATTGAGAATAAGTGTACTATTCCGCCTACTTCAGATTTTAAGTTGAAAGATAAGGTTTGAGAGTTTAACACATTAGTTAGTGTGAATTTGCAGGCAGTGATCGAAGATGTTGAATGCAATGAAGGAGATACGGTTAAATTCAAAGCAGTTCTTACCGGTGATCCTATTCCAGACGTAAGTATTTTTTATTAATTGAAGAAAGTCGATTTACTTAGTTGACCACTGTAATTCAATGCTACGGTTGATGCATTGCATGATACATTGGATGTACAATGTTTATCTAAAATCAGTTTTGTAAATGCGCGCAGTTATTTGAAATTTGAAAATTTTTTAAGTCTTACTTTTGCTGCTTGCTATCCTTTCATTTGTAAGTAATTATGAAATTATGTCAGACAATTTGGATGATCAATGGAGTGCCATTGTCTGAATCAGATAAGATTAAATTTATCAGTGAAGATGGAATTTGTATCCTGACAATTACCGACGTTTCTAGACACTTTGATGGTATTGTCACATGTCAAGTAAGTTGTGATTAATGAATTGAAATGAGAAGACTTGAACCAAGGAATAGAAGATAAAAAAACTTTTTGGTTAATATTTCAGAAAAATTACACGAGAACTTCAGTTAGGGTTTTATAAATTTTTCCAGGGTGTTAATCGACTTGGTACACAAAATTGTGATGCTCAGTTGAAAGTACGAGTGCCACCAGCTGCGCCACATTTTAAACGTCCACTTGAGGATAAAATCTCTCAAGAAGAACAAGCAGTTGTCTTAGAAACAGAAGTGAGCGGCTTTCCGGATCCAAAAATATCATTTACGATCAAAGGGAAATTGGTTAGTTACTTTTTTACTCGATTACTTGCCAGACGCTAATCATTGCTTAAGAGGAGTTCGCATCAATAGTTCATCAAAATCTGAACTCAAATGAGCTCTCGTTTAGGTAGCATAATTGATTATTAAAGCGACTGTTTGACCAGTTGAAAGATCAACTTGATGGGATGTTATTTTTTTTTTAATTTTTAACATTTCTTTTTGTTTGCAATAGTCAACTCTAGACCGGAAGTTTGAAATTTGAGATCTTGATTAATGATTAAGAAGGGGAAAAAAAAGCTGGACTGAAAAATGGTAACTTCTTTCAGATTGTATCTGGTGAAAATGGTATTGAAATTGTTGATAGAGGTAACGGGTGCTATCGAATTGAAATCTTAAAAGCTAGCATTGAATTACATGACGGTGAAATCGTTTGTACGGCAATTAATGATCACGGGCAAGCGGAAAGTAGAGCTCATATTGTTGTGGAGTCTGTGGAGAAAGATTTACATTCCGCACCAACCTTCGTCAAAGATATTGAAGATCAGGTGAGAAATGACTTCCGATTAGAGCCACTTAATTTATATTACAAGAAAGCAAACTAGGAATTTCATCAATAATGCAAGTAGAGTTCATAAATCACAAAGCTTTTCAACTCGAAAAGTTTCAAAATCTTCATTAAGGATATTTTGCAGACTGTTAAATATGGTCAAATGGCCGTCTTTGAAACATCCGTTCGTGGAAGCCCAAGTCCGGAAATTACCTGGTTTGTCAATGGCCAGAAAGTAGACAAGACAACACCTGGGATACACATCGAAACACAATCAATTACAGATCATAAGCTAATTATAGATTCAGCGCAATGTGCAGGCACTATTTTGTGCAGGTCACTTAGATTTTCCTTTTTTAGCTTTTTCTTTTGTCAAAAAAAAAATCGAAAACTGAATTGTAATTTTTTTTACTGAGCAGTACGCATTTAATGCGGTTATTGAATAAATGAATTTTTCCGATAAGATATAATCAATCATTCATGCTTAAAAATCAGCAGGAAATTTCTGATTTTCCGGCAAACTTTGTTTTAGAGCTGAAAATTCAGTTGGTCGTTATGAAACAAAAGCAAAACTAACAATAATTTCTGCTGAAAAGAAAAAACATGCACCGGAATTTATCGAAAAATTGGTTGATACAAATGTTATCGAGGAATCGAATGCTGTTTTCGAGGTCCGTGTTGAAGCTGAGCCTGTGGCCAACTTGAAATGGTTATTGGGCGAAAAGGAGTTGACCGAATCAAAAGTGCGTTTTTACTTCATATCTGAAATTTTGAAAATTTAATTACTTTCGCATCAATAACTCGTCATTCTTACTTTTGTGAAAAAAAGTTAAAAATTTAATAAGTAAGATATATATTCACTTCTGTTTAAAGAGAAAGATTTTAGCGTGTCAAAATTCGTGAATTTGATGGTAGCTGGAAATTGGAAATTGACAAACTAACACTTGAAGAAAGTGGTGTCATTCGTTGTATAGCGGAGAATTCCGAAGGTAGTTCAGAATCATCGGCACATTTGACAGTTAGCAAGAAACCATTTGCACCACAGTTCGAAGATCGTCCTAAAAACGTTACCGCTGAAAAAGGCCAGGAGGTTCGGTTCCAAGCTCATGCGATTGCAGTACCTGACCCTGTATACCAATGGTCCATTGGTGGTCGAAAAATCAAGGAAACTATGGAAGGTGTCAAAGTTGAAATTATCAACGGTGTCTCAACACTTACAATTGATACTAAAATTTTCGATTCTTCTACTGTTTCCGTGACGGCAACAAATTCCATTGGTATGTTTTGCTTACAGCATACCTTATGGGGTTCGAACTTTTAAAGTAATTTAACTATTTATTATCACTATGATAATAGAAGAAAGCAAATAAAGCATCGTTGATCACATTTGCAGGCGTTGATGAAACCGGTGCTTTGTTGACAGTGCAGGAAAAAGGAATGAAAGAAGAACGAACAGATGAATTTGAAACGATAAATGTAATTGAAATTTTAAAGTTTTATTTCGGTTTTAATTTTTCAGTAGCTTTTATTAGGCATAGATTTCAGGATAAAATTTTCAATAACTCTTTTTTCTGCAATATTATGTTTCCATTTCCTACATAGTATCATTGGAAGTCCAGTTTTGTCGCTCAGAAAAATATTTTTGGCTGAAAAATTTTTTTGTCTTGTAACAAGCCTAGCAACCGCTAAACTTTTTCATACCAATGCTTGTGCTGTCTCGAGGAAATAAATGTGGCTGTGTTTGTGAAAAAGTAATGAAACATTCATTATTCGTTTTCATCCTTAAGTTCAGGTCCAATCTTAGGACATTTTTATTATTTCAATGTTGGTTTAAGGCAATCAATTTTCATTTTCAAGAAAATAAGAAATAAATCTTTTCAGGAGTGTGAAAGCACCGCGGTAGAACAAATACCGGTGATTAAGAAGGCACTTTATGATCAAAGTGTTAAATATGGCGAAACGGCTAACTTCGAGGTAACTATTGAACCAAGTGAAGTTGTCGTGGAATGGTATAGCAATGGAAAGCAATTGATCGATGGGATGCCGGGTCTCTTTTAAATATTTCTCTAAAAAATTCCAAAATCTATAACTAGTTTCCTCTGAAACAAGTGACCTTTGAACTTCCTTCAAGCGCTTGTAAATTCATTGTACATAAACTTGAGTACTCAAGAATTTTATGAAATATTGATTGTTCTACATACGACTAAAATTTCTTATTATATATATGGAAAATTTAATATTGGAAAATTGAAATCACTTTGCAGGAGTGAAAATTTCCCAGCAGCATTCCGATTTTAAGTTAATTGTTGATTCGGCCCAATATGCCGGTGTCATTACCTTCAAGGCTTCAAATAAAGCTGGTAAAGTGGAAAGTAGTGCAAATTTAGTTGCTGTCCAAGAGAGGATTATCCAGAAAGCACCGGAATTTCTGAATACACTGAATGACATTTCGGTCAAGGAAGGCGATAAAGTAGAAGTTACTATTGAATCTAGTGGCAAAGCTACTTTCGAATGGGCATTGAATGAGAAAACCTTGCAGGTAAAATAGAATAATAAGAATCGAATTTTCAAGTATGGTTTGTAATTAGATTTGTTCCTTCATTTCATTTATACAAAAGTATCGGAAAAACGAGAATGGAAAAGATTAGGTTTAGTCAGAGACTAGAAGGGACAATTATTTTAATTAGTCATAAAATGCACTGGGCTAGATATCGCTATCTTACATATTTCGAATGCTTTTTTAACTCGAATATGATTAGAAATGACGATTTTGTAGAGCGGTGTTGGAGGTGTCACAATCAGAAACGAAGAAAGTAAGAGTGTCCTGATATTTGAGCAGATTTCACTACAACAAGCTGGTAACATCAAGGTAACAGCAACCAATGAAGGAGGACAAGCGTCTTCCTCTTTCTGTATGACTGTCAATGAAAGGGATATTGCACCTGAAATCATCGCAGGTAAATTTGTTGTAACATTCTACTTTAGATCTTAAGTGTTTTACTGCTGGCACATCAGTAAAGCGAGCAAAAAAAAGATTTCGATTTCAGGAAAGTGAGGAATGCTTTGAATACTTGTACCATATCAATACCATATCATATCCGTTATAAATACCACATCTGTTATGCTCTGATCACCTCTCATTCGTACTTTTTCTCAAATTTTTGATGGTACAGTTTGTCTGACACTATTTTCCTGGCAATTTCTAAAACAGTTCTAATCTTGTAGGACCGAACTCATTATCCATCAAGGAGAATGATACAGCGGAATTCCGGGTTGAAATAACTGGAAAGCCTACACCGACAGTGAAATGGCAGTTAAATGGACGTGAGCTATCGACATCGGATACAAATATCATAATTAAATCGTTTGAAGAAGTTTACACTTTAAAAATAGAGAAAACGAACGTGAAACACTCTGGTGAAGTGGTTGTTATCGCAGAAAATGCAGCCGGTATGGTAGGCAAGGAAGTTGTTTTGAAAGTTCGTATTTCTATCTTTTGCATTTGAGAAATTATGGAAATGTTAAACAAAGATATTTTGATCAATAGTAAGACTCGAAATCAAATGAACTACGTTTCTTTCGGATGTTTAATACGTTAAAAGAAATATTTCTTCGGTTTTGCGTCGGAATGTTCAATTTTTCATTTTTACTTTAAAGTTTTAAAGTTTAATTTTCCCTTAGGTTGAACCAGATTTGACAAAGCCAGTATTCAAGACCCATCTGATCGATCGTAGCGTGAACGAAGGTGAACCATTACGGTGGGATGTTGCTATCGATCGTCCATACAAAGGAATTACCGTTAAATGGTTTCTGAATGGCAAGGAACTAATAAACAACGAAAATGTGCAAATTATAGACCATGGTATGCGTGTAAAATTTCAATTTCTCAAAAATCCCGTAATTTGCTCAAAAGTCAAACGTCAGACCAAAAGCCAAACAATCAGATTTGCAAGCTCTAAGGTCAACGAGCTGATGATTTCTGCGTAAGTGTAAATTTTTATTAAGCATTCATTATTTAAAAGCATTAATCATATCAGAATAAAAACTGCTTTTTCAGGTGAAGGAAAGTACCATATGACCATAAACGAAGCTAAATCAGATATGTCCGGAACACTGATTGTCAAAGCGTCAAACTCCTGTGGAACTAGTGAATCACATGCATCTGTTGAAATTAGGGAAGTTATTCGAAAACCGGAAATCATAAGACAACCACAGGATCATACGGTTGACGAAAACCAAACTGTAAAATTCAGTGCTGTTGTTTCCGGAAAACCAACACCAAGCGTAAATTGGTATATGGATGGAATGAAACTGGAGAATAACAACGAAGTTCGAGTTAAATTCGACGAAACTACAGGAAAGACGTCGGTCAAGATTTTCAAAACAAATTTATCTGATAGTGGAAAAAAGGTATTATTTATAAGTATTTTGTGGAAATTTAATTAATATTTGGGAAATTCAGGAACTTTATGGTCTCAAAACGAGTTTGACTATAGTCAATCATGATTACCTGCAAAAACTAATATGTCAATTCAGATTACACTGAAAGTAGAAAACACTGAAGGCCAAGTAGAAGCAGGCGCAATTTTAACTGTCAGCAAAAAATCCGAACCGCCAAGTATTGTAGCCGAAATGAAGAGCCGTCAGGTAAACGAAGGTGAAACGGTGAACTTTTCGATTAAAGTAACCGGTTATCCAACTCCGGAAGTAGCTTGGTTTCAGAATGGAGAACCAATCATATCCGGCGGGTGTGTTCTAGCTTTACGTAAATGTTGAATAAAATTATCGTCTTTGTTTATTAAAATGAAGATAACAATCAAATTTACTTTTTCTAATGACTAATTTACAATGATTTCACTTTATCTTGATACAGCTAAAATGAATTAGTCGTATAATAATTTTACTGCAATAACAATTCCAGTTAAATTAATCTAATCATAATGTATGATCTTTGTCCACATATATTAATTTAAATTCAAATTTCAGTAATATAGAAATTACTGAAGAGGATGGCATTCACACATTGGTGTTAAGCGATGTTCTACCGGAACAAGGCGGTGAAATTTCCTGCGAAGCAAGAAACAGTGTAGGATCCAAAAAGCAATTGGCAACATTAACGGTTAAGCCTACCGGAAAAGCACCATTTTTTGAGAAAAATATCGAAGATAAATTGGTGGTAGAAGGAGAAGAATTAATTATGGATGCTAAGCTTGCCGAGGTTAATAATCATCATACTAAATTGCTATTTGATTGTATTTGTTTGCTTTTATCATTTCATTGATGCAGTAATATATGTAGAAGATATCTCTAAATCAGATATTTGTAATGATGGGAAAAAACAAATTCAAGTTCACATCTCTATTAAATGCATTCTGAATTCCAGGTCAGACCTGCTCCCACGATATCATGGTTAAGAAATGGTAAACCATTGGAGGATGCTCGTTTTAAGCTAAGTCGAGATGAAGATGGAACTTTGAAATTGAAAATTGATTCTGTTGTACTAGACGACAAGTCGCGGATTACAATACGAGCTGAAAATCAGTTCGGATCAGCCGGTATGTAAATGCATTAAACGGCAAGCAAAATTTAAATTGCATTAGTCTTTCTTACTTTGCGAATTATGTGTTCTAGTATATGATCTTCCATTTCTGATTATTCAATTAACTTAAAAGCTATTGGCAACGCTAGGAGCTTGAGCATGTTGAAAAATTATGACAGTTCAAGGAATTAGTCAGTTATTACTTTTAGTTGAGTTCAAAATGTCAAGTAGAAGTGAGTAACAACTGAAGAAATTTGCAAAGTATCGTTTCTGATTCAAATTTCTAATTTTTGGCACTTATTTTTATTTCAAATTGGTTTAAATAAAGCTTTATTTTGAATAAACAGATTGTTCGGCGTCAATCGGAGTAACTAAAAAGCGACCGATTGCAAAACCATCCTTCCTATCCGATATACCGGCGACTACTGTCACTGAAGGAGAATCACTGAACGTCAAAGTAATTGTCACCGGTGATCCTACACCATTTACAAAGTGGTACATCAACGATCAGGTATTTTTTGAGTTTTTGATCCCTGAAATGGATTTCTTTTGTTTAAATTTACTTGATTTCAAATACCTGGATGTATCCCATCAGCTGAACTTATCCTATAGCAATCTACCTATATTTTCTTGTTGCAATCCTTTCCTTTCGTTCAGATAAATAAGTAACAAAAGCTTTCCGGAAAAATTTGGATTATTTACTAAGAAGTTTTTGACAACTTATCCATCTTTGTTAAGACAAAATTAATTTTGATTTTGAAAATGACAAAAATATAGCTGTTATCATGTGTATAGCTTGTGGTAGCAACTGAGGATACAGAAATGAAAGAAGAAAATGGAGTATATTCGCTGACAATTCATGGTTGTACCAAGGATATGACCGGTACCATTAAATGTGTAGCATATAACAAAGCTGGTGAGGTGACTGCCCAAGGAAATCTTACTGTTTTGACACCAATACCGGTGGAATTTGAAACTTCACTTTGTGATGCTGTATGTCGTGAAGGCGATACATTGAAATTGAAAGCTGTATTAATGGGTGAACCAACTCCACAAGTTTCATGGTTAGTTCAGCGTTATGTCCAACTGAACTATTTTTTCAATGATTCAACTAAAAAAAAAAGGAAACTTTTCAATAAGTAACTTGAACAAAACCATTTAGAATGAAAGTGAAATTCGAAATTAGATTAACTTTCCAAAAAAAATGTTTTAATTAAAATGAATATCAGGTACGTGAACGGAAAAAAGTTGGAAGAATCCCAAAATATTAAGATACATGAAGAAAAGGGGACTTATACCGTTACGATCAGAGATATCACATGCGATTATTCTGGAAAGGTAACTGTCTGGAGGATTTTTCTTCCTTAACTAAAGCTAGATAATGTCTTCTTATTTTGCAAAATTAGGTTGTATGTGAGGCAGTAAATGAATATGGTAAGGCAGTCTCAGAAGCATCACTTTTGGTATTACCTCGCGGTGAACCACCAGATTTCATCGAATGGCTCAGCAATATAAAAGCACGACAAGGGTCACAGGTCACTCATAAGGTAAGTTTATGAATATAGGAGAAAATTACCTAGAGAATTTCAGAATTGAATTAGAATTTTTAATAATAAAAAGAAACTTTTGGCAGAGTTTTCGGTACGGGTGAAATATTAATGGAAAAGTATTATGGTCTATAGCTGTTATAATGTTTACCATAAAGGTTAGAGTAGTGATATATATTATGGAATAAATGTTTATGCTAATGTCTGATCGTTTGCTCAACAAAATTTGACAGTGTCTCGAAATTCTTTTTTTAAACTTTCTGCAAGTTAAAATTAATGTTAAAATTTCAGGTAGTTTTTACGGGTGACCCGAAGCCAAATCTCACTTGGTATATCAATAATGAAGAGGTGAAAAACAGTGATGAAATCGTTATTGTTACGGATGATAATACGTCTACGCTAGTGATCAAAAATTTCAATCAGGATAAACATACCGGTGAAATCATTTGTAAAGCTGAAAATGATGCCGGTGAAGTGTCCTGCACAGCTAGCATGGGAGTAAGTGATTCTTGACGTTCGTGATCAATAAAATTTCAATCTGAATAACATTTATAAAATTCAACATTCCAAAAGACCCAGATAGCAATTTTATGGGTTTCAACGTCTAGAAAGCATCGGGTTTTTCAAACGCTTCTAAAAATCATTCTTTTTGACAAAACGGTTTTTGCTTTGCTAAATTTTTTAATAAAGCAATTTCTAGCCTTACACCTCAGATATATTCTCGGAATCACAAACGGAGTCTGAAGCAATGGCCGAAGAAGTGCTCAACTTCGAGGAGGGTCAAGAATTTGGTATGTCGGCTCAAATAACTCTTTAAATTCATCTTCGCAGTTTCCATTTTTTAAGTTGCAAGCGCTACACTGCGATAATTTCTCGTGATTTCAACTTTTGCATATTTTCCGTTTATTTCATTCAAGGGACATTTCCTGCAGGTACGGAAGCAGATTCCATTGAGGAATTGCAGCGCACGCCAACACCAATTATGGCACCAAAATTTATCACTAAAATTAAGGATACTCGAGCAGCACGTGGACATCAAGCAATCTTCGAATGTGTTGTTCCGGATAGCAAAGGTGTTTGTTGCAAATGGTAAGTCCTTAACTTCTAGTTGCATAGTCGTTAAAATGGAGAAAAGATTTGTATTTTCTTAGAAATATTTTGTACAAGAGACAAACAGAGAGTTACAAAGACTTCCTTTATTTTCACCTCAAATTTGGAAAATTAAACCATTAGATGAAGGAAACAATATTCACGTCACATAATCGTTGAGAATTACAAAAAACACAAATTGATCGTGTACAGTTAAACTCCAAAACGTTGCCACTAAACGAATTCCAGAAACAATCTGGAAATTAAAAGAATGGAGGAAGTATCCTTCAAGATTGGTTTTGCGATCACAGAGATTAGCGCCTTTATTAGCTTGTGCTGATGAAACCACTTTTTGTTAGCACACATTTTGTGTAAGGCTCTTAGGGTACATTGCTAAACAAAAAGCACATATACAATTCTATGCAGTGATATCGCTCAACTAATCCAGAAAAGACTTTGAATGATTGTTAATCTTAGTTACAATCCAACTTGGACCTACAAATTAATAGATCATTCACTTATAATTCTTCATATTTTCTTTATCACGGGAATTCTTCGCATTTATTCACACAATTGTGACATGAATCCGTAAGTACCCTCATTTAATCACTTATTTTTCCTTCATTGTACTTACTTATAGCTTTTCAGCCAACTTTTATAGGTTGAAAGATGGGCGTGAGATAGAATTAATTGCAAGGATTCGTGTGCAAACTCGAACCATAGAAGGTTATGTAACCAGTGAACTGATTATTGATGATGTTATACCGGAAGATGCCGGAAAGTACACTGTCGTGGTCGAAAATATCGCTGGTAAAGATTCTTGCGAAGCAACTCTGAATGTAATTGGTGAGTGCATGTAATACTTAAAGCAGTATGAACGAGTAAGTGTAGTTTCAAGATTTCAAAATTCATGACTTAAATTTCGAGAAATTTTTAAGTTGCTATTTTTACTTCCAGTTTTTTCAGAAGTCTTTTTCAATAAGTTTATAGTTTTTGTGTAATTGAAAGCGAAAAGTTAATTGGAAATTTTATGTAGCTTGCGTTAAACAATCGTCTTTTTTTTTCAGAAGTGCTTATGAAACCGGAAACATATGCACCGGATTTTGTTGTCGCCATACAAGATAAAACATGTAATGAGGCGGAAAAAATTGTTTTTGAATGTAAAGTAATCGGTGAACCACAACCAACTATTTCTTGGTTTCATGAAAAGGTTCTTACTCTACATTAAAATCTAAAAATCAATGGCCGAATTTGGAATTTTACAAAATTGATTTATTAATGTACAGTATGGAAATTAATCGCAAATCCAAAAATATTTTCCAGACTCCTATAGTTGAAGAAACCAGTAAGACGATCATTGAGTCGGAAGGTACTATCCAGCGGTTAGTTATCGTTTCGGCTGTTGTTGCTGACCGAGGACAGTACACATGTTTGGCTGAAAATGTTGAAGGCAAAGCAGAGTCCAAGGCAACTCTTACTGTATTGGGTAAGTTCGTAAATTTGACTAATGCTAGTGACAATGACCAAGGGTCACAACGTAGTAACGGTCACAACGTCTTTCCTGCCTTACATCAAATTAGACAGTGTAGCTTTTTTTACATTATGTTCTATTCCCTTTCAAGTTCTTTTTCAGAGATTATATTATAGGAACGTAATGTACATCTGAGTACTAAAATTGAATACTGAATCAGAAATGATACTGAAATTGAATACTGAATCAGAAATGACGAAATAACTTGGGTGCCGCACAGGCCTATTTTATAATTCATTTTGTTCCCTGGACTTTTTATCGCTGGCAGCCTCTATCCATTTGTTTCTTTGTTTTCAGCTGAAGCACCGCAATTTACTCGTCACATCAGTTCTAAAGAAGTAAGCATAGGTGAGAAAGTAATTTTGGATTGCTCCGTTAAAGGTTCACCTCAACCAACTGTACAGTTCTTTCGGGAATCCACCCGAATTACTTCTGATTCCCACCATTCTATCGAACATGATATTTCTAATGTACACTGGAGGTTGGTAATTGAGAAAGCGGAAGAATCTGACTGTCGGAAGTATCGCGTTGTCGCTACCAACTCTGTCGGTATGGCAGAATCAGAAGCAGAAATCAAACAGAAAGAAATGAGCCGAAAACCAGAGCTAACCGAAGTACTAAGGAATCGGAAAGTTACTGAAGGTGATGAAATCATTATGGAGGTGAAATTCACCGGCATCCCACGGCCAGATGTCCAGTGGTTCAAAGACAGCAAAGAAATCGTGGAAAAAAAAGAAAAAATCACAATAAGAACCGAAGAAGACAGGTCTACATTGATTATCAAAAGTGCAAAACCAGAAGAAACCGGGAACTATCGGATCGAATTGGTTAATTCAGAGGGTAAAGCGACGTCAAGTGCCAGCGTTACTGTGGAATCTGTTGCCATATTTCCGCGATTCACAAAAATGCTAACTGATATCGAAGTTCATGAATTAGAAACTATCGAAATGAAAGTAACAGCAACTGGGGTACCTACGCCTGAAGTACAATGGTTCAAAGATGATGCACCGGTGCAAATCGATAGTGAACGAATATTCGTTCGAGAAACCGAAACTGGCGAACATATTTTAACTATTAGGCAGATCCAGTTCGAGGATACTGGTCTCTATTCATGTAAAGCATCTAATAAGGCGGGTTCAGAAGAATGCAAAGCAAAATTTGTTGTGCTTGAAGACCTACAGGCACCGAAATTCGCCAAACAGTTATCCGAAATCAAGGTAAAGGAAGTCGAAACTGCTGAATTAGCAGTAACAGTAACGGGAAAACCGACACCAGAAGTTTGCTGGACCAAAGATGGAGCACCTATAAATATCGACAAGATCCACTTTGTAACTAAAGAGGATGAAAGTGGGCGTCATACCTTGATGATCAAACAGGTTAGATTAGGAGATGCTGGTATTTATTCCTGCAAAGCTAGTAATAGAGTCGGTGAGGCAGAAACCAAAACTTTGTTTGCAGTTGAAAGAGAAAGTGAAGTACCACAGTTTTCAAAGGATCTGCAGGAACTTTCGGTACAGGAAGGTAAAACCGCTGAATTGTCAGTAACAGTAGTTGGAAAACCAGCACCTGAAGTAACATGGTATAGAGATGGAGTTCCAGTAAACATTGACAATAAGCATATTCTGATGAAAACGGATGAAGCGGGGCATTCTATATTAATTATCAAGGAAGCTAATTTAAAAGATAGCGGTATCTATTCATGCAAAGCTAGCAACATAGCTGGAATCGCTGAAACTGAAGCTAAATTCGTGGTTGAAGAATTCATTGAAGTGCCGAAATTTACTGAAGGTCTGCAAGAGGTTTCGGTGCAAGAAAGCGAAACTGTACAACTTTCAGTTACGGTGGTTGGAAAACCAGCACCCGAGGTAGTATGGTTGAAAGATGGAGTTCCAATTTATATTGATAATGAGCACATCTTATCGGAAGAAGATGAACAGGGACATCATACGTTGATAATTAAAGAGGCTCGAGTAAAAGATATGGGTACTTACTCTTGCAAAGCAGTCAATTTGGTTGGTACCGAAGAAACAGAAGCAAAATTGGCTGTTGTTTCAGAATTGATACCACCGTTGTTTACAAATGAAATTGGTGAATTAGAAATTCAAGAAGGTGAAAAAGCAGAACTAAAATGCATCGTTGTTGGTAAACCGACACCAGAGGTAACTTGGATGAGAAATGGTGTTGAGGTACACATCGATAATACCCATTTCTTTAAAAAAGATGACGAAACTGGAGAGCAAACGTTAATAATTCCTAATATGAAGAAGGAAGATTTTGGTACCTATGCATGTGTTGCTACCAATTTAGCTGGCACCGCTGAAATTGCTGGGAAAATCAAATTTCCAAAATATGGTTTCAAAAAAATCCAAGAGGAAGAAGTTAAACCAATGTTTATAGAACCGTTAGAAACACAAACCGTTAAAGAAGGTGAAACAGTCAGTATCAAATGTCGAGTGAATGAAAACGCAGGTGCTGATATTCATTGGTACTTAGGCGATAAGCCAATTGAGCCAAACGGACATCTGATTTTGGAAAAACTTGAAAATGGTGTCATGAAACTAACAATTGAAAATGCCACCAAAGAAGACGTTGGTATGTATCGGTGTGAAGCAATCAATAAATCTGGAAAAGCAACAACTGCAGCAAAGCTTAATTTTGCAACCGAAGACATGGAGGAAGGTGAAGATGAGTCTGCTTTAATTGGATTTATTCAACCTTTGAGTGATGTTGTCGCAGCAGACAATGGAGTAGTGGAACTGCTGTGTGCTCTGAATGCTACCAAAGGTGATGTTCGGATACAGTGGTCTAAAGACGGTTTAGAAGTATCAGCACAACATGTCACTACTGAACAACTTGTTGATGGTACTCAAAAACTAAAAATTGCAAAAGTAATCGCAGATGATGCTGGAACTTACCGATGTACCGCTTCGATTGGTGATTCATCTGTATGGACCGAAGGAAAACTCAGTATTTTAGGTTCTAACAGAGGCTTTTATTTCAACCAACCATGAAACCTTTTATGTACTGCTTCCATAGTAACTGATACTAAAATAAGTCATTGGGTACAAAGATTTGAATTGGTCTAATCTCTGGCTCTCACTTTTTTGTATCGAAGCTTCGACGAGGACGAATGCTGAAAAAAGAAGTCCAAGTTATGAAGCAGTACTTGAAAGGTTTCTGGGATTCAAGCATGCTCCACTTTTTTTATTCCAAGTTTAGTAATGATTAAGTGCTAATATGCATGCGCCTTTGTCCAATAAGATTAAGTCCATGTGTATGCTCAACACTAAAATTTTGCTTCAAAAAAAAATTAGAAAATACTTTCGAAAATTTAGTCAAATTTTAGAACATCAAACTAAATTAGGATTCTTTCTGGCTCAAGATAAATCCTTCTCTGTCTTCACTCCATCTCCAACATCTTTGTTTTACGCTAATTGACTTCTCGCTTTCTGAAGCTTTGCTTTAATTTATCGAAAAGTATTGCACTTTGTTTATTCGCTTAATTTCTAGCTATAGTTTAATTTCAGAAACAGCAAAAGAAACAATACAGGATGAAGGACCACCGGAATTTACGGAACTCTTGAAATCTTGCGCGGTAACTGAAAATGCTGAAGTTGTTCTTCGGTGCAAACTGAAAGGTCTACCGAGACCGACGTTATCTTGGATGAAAGATGGTATCAAGGTGACTTTTCCTACTGGTTTGAAAGAGACATGAAAGACATAATATAAATTAAGGTAGCTTTGCTCTAATATATTTCAAAATGTGTTAAAATATGAAACCTGCTGATGTTAGAACCTATTTGGAATAAATCGCTTCTAGAGTTTTCAGCTTTCCGAAGTTATCTTCTAAAATCTAGAGGGAAATCCGAGAAAATCATTTTTTTTTTAGTTGGATCAAAATCATCGTATGATCACTGAGTACCATGAAGACGGCACTATTGTACTGAAAATCAGGAATGCTAGGAAAGAGGACAGTGGTGAATATCGATGCGATGCAGTTAATATACATGGTAATGCTTGGACTGCTGGACCTGTTCGGATTGCAACCAAATCGGAATTGCAACAAGAAGGCGAAGCACCCGATTTTATTGAGCCCGTCAAACCTATTACTGTAAGCTTAATATGCGATCCATAAACAATGAGGGAATACACATAAGAATTGATCGAGAAAAACTTTTAAACTTAAGCGAAATGAAAAGATGAAGCAAAAAGACTTCCAACAGGAAGTTAAACTAAAACAAAGTTCTATTTCGTTGCGCTAATTGGTCAATCTCAAGAACATTGTTAACTATAAAACCTAGAACTATCTGCATTCGTTATGATATATCTATTCGTTTATTCAGGTCTCTGCTGGTGAAACAGCAGTATTGGAGGGTAAGGTCAAGGGGCAACCAAAACCAGAAATCAAGTGGTTCAGTGGTGAAAATATGGTGAAGGAAAACTCAAACATCCGGCTAGAAAGTCTTCCTGATGGTACCCAAAGGCTTATACTAAAAAATGCAACTGTTGAGGATACCGGGAAATATCGCTGTGTTGCAAGTAACCAATATGGTGATGTATGGAGCGATGTTACACTTACCGTCCGAGGTTTCTCGTCAACATTGTATTTGAGAGAATTTTGAGGAATCTACTGAAGTTAGAATTTTCAAAGCCTCTATTCTAAAACTGAAGGACTATTGAGATTCAAAACGAATTCATACATTCAATTTCACAGTCTAAAACTATTAGTATGTTTTATTTTAGTTCCTGTATCGGAAGAGGAAGGCGCAGTGGAATATGCTGCGCCAACATTCTTGAAAACTCTAGAAGAAATCAATGTTAAAGAATTGGAACACGTTGTAATGGAATGTAAAATTGTTGGCGAGCCAATGCCTGAAATTAAATGGTTCAAGGTAAGAATTTGCATAATAAATAAGTTTAGTTTGTTCGTATGTATGCTACAGTTCTTTAAGCCTATTATCTCATAGCCAAATGATCTTTGTCCTCGGCCTGTTAAGGAAAAGGACCATTGTTAATCTTTTAGCTCGGAAATTCCCATGATATACCCCAGGCTTTTTTAGAATTCTTTAATGTTTTTGTGCTCATTTGTCGTCAATGTGAGCAGCATTTTATCTTGATTCCAGAATAAAGAAGAAATCAGCGCAGATAATGCCCATTTCAAAAAGGAAACGCTTCCGGATGGTACCGCTCGACTAATTATTGATTCAGTTAATAAGGTACATATATTTTACTGGGGTCCAAACGAAACTGAGTTTTTTTTTTTTTAATTTCAGTCTTCGATGAAGGAAATATGAAATTTTCTTACAGGAAGATGGTGGTGAATTCAGATGTGAAGCACAGAATACCTTTGGTACAGCACGTACCGACGCTGCGTTGAATGTGTGGTATGATTTCGAAGTGCCGGTGCAAAATGAAACTTCACCGGAATTTGTACAGGAATTGAAAGCAGTTCAGGCTATTGAAAAGCAGCAAATTTCTTTCGAATGCCGGTGAGTGTCATTCACTAATTTATCATATGAATTTTCCGTCTTTGTGATTTTACAAGAACTTAAATTATTGAGAAGGATTGTACAACACGAAGTAAAAGTTCATAGCAGTGAATAGTTTAGCCGATTTAAACTACCATTGCTGCATTACTTTTAATAAATTTTATCTTTTAGAGTAGTTGGAGTTCCTGTACCGCAAGTTAAATGGTTTAGAGATGGTGAAGAATTAAAACCCAATGAGCATGTCCACATCGAAAGCTTGCCGGATGGTACCAATCGTTTAGTGATTGATTCAGTTGGTGTTGAAGATCAGGGCAATTATCGGTGTGAAGCGACCAACAGTGCTGGATCAATGAGTTCGAAAGCTCCACTAACTGTCAATGGTGAACTATTTCTGATAAACACGATACTTTAATTTTTCAAAATTTTGCATAGTAACTTGTAGCAAGTCATATAGATGTGGAAGTTTTTATGTTTTCTATCAGAGTTAAGATTAAAATTTTATAAAACAATTAAATTTTTTAATACCGAAGTGTTCTAGAATTGGAAACCTTGAAGTTGAAGAAAGGCTTGACAGACACGAAAGGGGAAATTGGAACTAAGATTCGATTGTTTATTGAAGTTGAAGGAAAACCAAAAACAGTAAGATGGTTCCATGGAAAGAATGAAATCCAAGCAAGCAAGTATGGATGAATTTTCCGACAAATTGAGAGTATAATGATAAGATTGTAATGATGAAGCATTGATAAAAATAAAAGAAGTTAAGAAACTAGAGTACTTTATACTGAAATGAACCAACGCTTGAAATCATTGGTTCGGGGTAGGGAATTTGGAGGAAATAATTCCAGTTTTTGCAAATTTCTTCGTTCCTTACTTATGAATTAGCGATCTTTAAGAAACGTTTCTAAGCATATGAAACGATAAAACTGATTTCAGACGGATAAAACTCGAAACCATTATGGGACATGAATACAGCTTAGAAATTAGTGAAGCGGAAAGTTCAGATGAAGGTACTTATCGTGTAGTCTTATCAACCGATACCGAAACCATTGAGTCATCTTGTTCAGTAACTGTATTCAAAAGCGAAGTGGAACCAATCTTTCGGAAAAGTCTTCAAGATCAGTGCATACCGAAAGGATCCAAACTAGTTCTTGAAGTTGGCAGTTTCATTTGTTCAATATTGTGTGGAATATAAACCGGGAACCATTTTGAAATAAATTATAGAATTGAGACCCAGGATTGAATTTTGGAATTTTGGATCAAAAAATCTCATAATTGAGCAAACTCAAACGATTAAGTTAAATTTTTTTAAAGTTAAGTTTTAAGCATAAATAAATTACTTGCAGCAGTTTATGCATCTCGACTAGAAAGGAACATTTTACGTTGAAATTTGGATTTTCAGATCGAATTGGACGGTACGCCAAAACAAGTCAAATGGTTAAAAGCCGGTGTACCGATAGATGACAAAGTAATGAAAGCGAAAGATCTTGGTAATGGGAAATATCAGTTGGTGATAGATGAAATCAAGGAAAGTGATGCGGGTGAATATGGCGTGCAAGTGTCTAACGATGCTGGAACAATTGAATCCAAAGCAAACATTACACTGAAAGCAGGTACTGTATTTACGATTATTTCCCATGATGGAATAATCATACTGTATATCAGCAAACTTTCAGAGAAGCCAGAAATTGTCAGTGGTTTGAAGCCAATAACAGCTGAAGATGGCGAAAAAGTAATGCTTGAAGTGGAAACCAAAGGGCCGATCAAGAAAGTCAAATGGTTAGCAGTTGAATATGAATTTAGGAATCTCTTAAAGTTTGAAAAAATTCGGAATGACAAATAGGCAGTCTTCTTTCTTTTCATAGAAAATAGAATTAAAATAAAATGTAAGTTTATGTGAGAGAAAAGAGATTTACTATTTTAGTTGTCGTGCGCTGTCCTGTTCGTTAATATAAAAAGGAGAAAGCTGGTCGTAAGAGTAAATACTCAGGAATTTTTCAGGTATAAGAATGGCGTAGAAGCAAAAAATGTCGAGAAGAAACAAGTCGGTGATAATAAGTATCAATTAATTATCAGTAAAGCAACCAAAAACGACGAAGCTGAGTATAAAGTTAGGATTTTAAATGAAGTATCTAAAAGCGATTCTGAAGCAAGTAAATATCATAAATGTCAGCAAAAATTTTCATAATGAGTTTTCTCGAGCCTGATGTAATTTTGATTAACTTCTTGACGAAACATGTATGTATTGAAACATTTTGGTTTAATTTAATTCTGATTTCAAATTATTTGAACAGTTTTTGATTTGCTCAAGTGTTAGTGATGATTTGGTTAAGTTTAATTCTGGAAGGTTGATTTTGTTCTAAGAGCTAATTTATTCTTGTTTCCAGGTTGTGTTGTCAAATGACGAAGGTGATGCAGAATCATCAGCCAAAGTAACTGTAAAACTACCAAAAATTGAATTTATTAAAAGTTTGGAGGACCAAACAGTTGATGCTGGTGTCAAGGTGATCCTAAGTATCGAAACTAATTTGCTTCCAAAACAGATTAAATGGTAACTATTAACCTTCCAAACATTTCAATGTTAATTAGCCTTTATAAGCAAATTAATAATAAGACGATTATTCAGAAGAATTTTTTTTGGATTTTCAGGTACAAGAACGGCAAAGAAATCACTGCTAGTGATAAGGCTAAACCGAATAAACTCAGTGATAACACTTACCAACTAATGATACCGGATACAGACAAAGATGATACTGCTGAATATAAAGTGCGTCTGAGTTTTGTTTTCATTAAGACATAGATGTTCCTTCTTCTCCTCACTCTGATTTTGTGAATGCTAAAGTCGTTAACCTTGAATGATTCAATATTTGCATTGTAATTTTTTCGAAATTTTCTGAAATTTGACCGTTTGTTAGCTCTGCACGAAGGAACATGTTAAATTCAGTCGCTTTTATTAATTTCGTTTCTTGAACTTGTTAACTTCAGGTTGTACTTACCTCTGATGATGATACTGTCGATTCTTCTTGTGCGTTGACCGTGAAGTTACCACCACTAATTATTACGAAAGGTTTAGAAGATCAAGCTGTTAATGCTGGTGAGAAAGTATTACTTGGGGTCGAGGTCAACACACTACCGAAATCAGTTAAATGGTAAGTAAATGTCGATAAATAAACGGTAGGTAAAGCAAATAGTGTTCATGCTGATGTTATCCATCACCATCAACTAACAGTAGAGGCGAATAATCGGTCACTAAACTTATTTCTGTGTGCTTCAAACAATCCTCAGTGTTTATTTTAGGTATAAAAATAATCGAGAAGTTGGTTCAGATGATAAAGCAAAGCCGAAGAAAGTAAATGATAAAAATTACCAACTTGAAATACCCAATGCTTCAGAAGATGATGCTTTGGATTATAAGGTTTGCCAAATCTGGAATTCTAGCATTCTTTTTTCACTTAAATATTAAGTATTTGAAAAAATAAGCTGGAAATTACTTCTTCATCGATTTCAGGTTATACTTTCGAATGAAGAGGATTGCGTGGAATCCAGTTGCACGTTGACAGTCAAAAAACCAGTCGAAAAGCCTTCAATCAAGAAAGGAATTGAGGATCAATTTATTGCACTTGGAAAATCTTTGGAAATTGCCATTGAGGTGATTTATTCCTTTTTCTTTACTGTTTCCCTTTTGAATCTCGAAAACTTTTGATGTTTAAGGCCTGACCTGATCTGAAGACTGGCAGATTTTTTACTCCAATTTTTTTTCAGTACCTTCGAATTCTAAGAGTTCGAAAAATGAACCAACTTTTTCGAGAAAGTAGTAGTACTTATAAATTAATCTTGCAGACAACGGGTGAGCCAAGACTCGTGAAATGGTACAAAAATGGACAATTATTGTCAGGAGAAACAACTAAAACAGTCAAGGCAGAAAAGATTGATGAGAATAACTACATTTTGAAAATTGAGAAATGCACCTTGAATGACAGTGGTACTTATTCGGTTGAAGTACAGAATGAAGCAGGTCAAGTCAAGAGTTTAGGAGAGATAACCGTCGAAGATAAACTAATCTTCTTGAAACCATTGCAAGATGTTGAAGTGGTAGAAGCTGAACAAGTAGTGCTTATGGTCGAAACAAATATTCATCCACGGATTGTTAAGTGGTATAAAAATGGGCAAGAAATTAAAGCTGTGAGCGGGCGGATCGAAATGAAAGATGACACGACAAGATTTCATCTTATCATAGTGAAAGCTGAAACTACTGATACAGCCGACTATAAGGTTGTTTTGTCGAATAGCGCCGGAGATTTGGATTCATCTGCGAAACTAACAGTCAAGAAATCGAAGGGCCAACCAAAAATTATTAAAGGCTTAGAGGATCAGGTTATTGCGGAAGGTAATGAATTGATATTGGAAATTAAGGTAGAAGAGGAACCAACCGAAGTTCGATGGCTCAAAAATGGAGCTGTACTTCCGAAAAATGTTGAAGCTAAGATTGAAAAAATTGATGAACAATCATATCGCTTAACAATTCCACGAATTGGTACTACCGATGCGGGTGCGTACAGTGTTGAAGTAATCAATGAAATTGGCAAAGTACAAAGCACTGGTAATGTAGACGTTGATATAAAACCTGAGATCGTTAAAGGCTTAGAGGATTGCGAAATCAATGAAGGTGATGAACAACTTTTCAAGGTTGAAATAAATGTCCCTGTTCGGGAAATTAAATGGTATAAGAATGGGCAGGAAATAAAGCCTTCATCCAAGATGATCACAAAGCAAATTACTTCCAAGAAATTTGAGCTTATTATTCTTGAAGCATCAATGAACGATACCGCCACTTATAAGGTAACTTTAAGCAACAAAGCCGGTGCTTGTGATTCCTCAGCTAGTTTGACTGTTGTAAAACCTAATGTGCTGAAAGTTCTTGATAGTCTGAAGGATGTTGAAGTAAATGAAGGTGAACCAATCAAACTTTCTATCAAAGCTGAAGGACAACCGAAAATTGTTAAATGGCTCAAAAATGGTCAAGAGATCAAATCAGATGATCGAACGCAAATTGTAAGTATCCGCTAATCGAAATACTTATTTCAAATATTCCAGATCTTCCAGTTTTCAATATTTTGAGTTTTCTCTTACTCCATCACGAAACATTCAGTAGCGTAAAAAATTTAGTTGCAGTCTTGAACTGCTATGATCGTTTATTTCTTTACCTATTTATTCATTAGCTTATCTGTGTTCTAATCCATCTTCTGTGCATTTAATTTTGAATAATCAGTTTTACAGACAGAGAATCCTGAAACTGGTGAATATACTTTGACAATACCAGAAAGTGTAGCATCGGACGATGCCGCATATCGTGTCGTGCTCTCGAACAAGTTTGGCGAAGTGCAAAGCGGCTCCATTACTCGTGTGAAACGTAAAAGCCCATTTGTTAACTGAACAGTCCTTTAGGAATTAGTTAAAATTGATGTTTACAAAAGTTTTCACTTTATTTATCGGATACGATTTTGTAGAATTTCTGAAACTGGTTAAATTGGGGATTATAGAGTTTCAACAACTTTCAGCAAAGAAAACTGAACCAATTATAAGTGCATCAACTTTCATTACACCACTGGAAGATATCAATGTACCAGAAGGTGCCAATTTGACCTTGAAGTGTAAAGTATCTGGCGAACCAATGCCGACACTTAAATGGTTAATACTTCTTAATCTTAGGGAAATGTAATACTTGATTATATTATAAAATTTACTTCATGGATGTGTAACTTTTCACTTTACAAAGCACAATAATTCATCGCATATGACGTAACTTGAAATTGATAGGATGAGAATGATATTAATGATGATTGATGAGAATGATATTAAAAAAAGTTATATTTTAGGTACAAAGATGACATCGAAATTACTAAAGATGATCGCGTTGTGATGCGCATATCCTTGGATGGCACAGCAACCTTACGTATTCTGGACAGCAAGAAAGAAGATACAGGTAGATACAGTGTTTCAGCAATCAATCCGGCTGGTGAATCGAAATCCGAGTGCAATGTTCGGATATTAGACGCCAAGGAATTACCATCCGGACCGAAATTTGTTATTCCGCTAAAGGATATCACAGCAGAAATTGGGACCAAAGCCGAATTCAACATCAAAGTTTGCGGTATACCGAAGCCTACACTTAAGTGGTGCGTATCTTGATTTCCTAAAACTTTCAGGTTAATTTATTTGTTTAGATTGTCGAGTTCTTATTTTCAGGTTAATTTATTTGTTTAGATTGTCAAGTTCTTATTGGATCATCCTATACCTTAATGTGTCAATAGGATAAGAGAACTGAGAAGTAAGAAAAAATTCATAATAATTTGACGTTGTTATAATTTCAGGTCAGTTGCTAACCAAGACGTAACGCACTTGGATGGTATCAAAGTTGAAGATTTGAATGATGGCAACTGGACTATGACAATCGAAAGTGTTACCGAAGGATTTATTGGTCGTATTAAATGTGTTGCAATCAACGAACACGGGAAAGCTGAATGCGAATCGCAACTAATTCAGACAGAGTCAAAACTTGGGAAGGCAAAGACTGAAGAGGGTTATCCACCGAAATTCAACGTGCCGTTATGGGATCGACGAATATCGGAGGGGCAAGTTGCGACTATTGAATGTCATGTAGACGCTAAACCAACTGCCAATATCGTTTGGACAAAGGTTTGCTTTTGACTTTCAATCCCTAGCTTTGAACTTTTGAAACAAATTTGCTATTTAAAATTAACAAAGAGCTACTCTACTGAAGTTTAGGATGGTGTTACTTTGGTGGAGTCAGATCGTATTGAAATTCATAATACCCCAAATGGAGCGTGTCGTGTACGAATTAGCAATTTTGGTAAAGATGACGTCGGTACCTACAAATGCACTGCCACAAATACACTTGGAGTTGCTGATACCAGATCGAATCTCAATATTCAGAGTTAGTGAAATTTCCTCATTTTTGGATTTGTAGAAAATATTTCGATTTGATTTATTTTTAATTATTATTTGATTCTTAGTTTTAATTTAAATAGAAGGAGCATAATTTTCAGTAAAAGAAAAAGAAGAAGTAATAGCGAAGAAAGAATTCCCACCGCGTTTTAATCCACCACTTACGGATAAATTTGCGGATATTGACGAAACGGTCCGTTTATCCTGCAAAGTAGATGCATCACCAAAAGCAGCCATAACATGGTACAAAGATGGAGTACCATTAAGAAGTAATGGCCGTATTGTCATCGAGAATGATGATGATGGTAACTGTTTATTGACAATCAACCATAGTACGGAATCCGATGATGGAGCTTATCGTTGTGTTGCTGTCAATGATATCGGTTTGCTTTTCCGGTATTTCACCATAAAATTTGATTAAGTTGTGGTTTTTTGTCAAGTAAGGAAGTATGGAAAAAATGTGACTTGATATTTGAATCTTGAGGGGATAATAATTTCATGCAGCATCAATTTTGATCGTTTTGGGTTTTTAAATTCCGAACTCAAATTTTGATAGAATTATTGCAGGTAGCTCTAATTCAGCTTGTGTGGTATCTATCCGTAAGATAAAAGAAGAAGTTAAAAAGGAAGGTGAAGAGCCATTCTTCACCAAAGGCTTGGTGGACAAGTGGTTAGAACGTGGCGATAAATTAACTTTGCAGTGCACTGTAATCGGTGAACCGAAACCAGAAATTCGTTGGTATGCTTGTATTTGTGATCCTAAAATTTCAATAACCAAAATATTTAAATTCCACAGAAACATTCATATCTATTGTTTAGACATTTAGAAATCATAGTTTTTATTGTTTAAATTCTAAGGTATCGTAACGGAATTTTATTACGACCAAACAACAAAATCAGCATCGAAAACACGTCGGATGGCTTGTGCACATTGACAATCGAAGAATGCGCAATAAGTGATGAAGGAATCTATCGTTGTGATGCTGAAAATTGTAATGGAAAAGCACGAACACAATCAACTGTCCACATTGAGAGTTAGTTTGCATCAAAATTCCAAGTTTTTTCTTTCCTCCAGTGCGCACTGAATATAGTTGATTTCGAACTGATCGAATTCCATAGAGAGAAAATTCAAAACTTGAGATTCTTTTATATACTAAACTTTTTGAATAATTATTCGAAGTCTTTGCAGGACCGATCGAAAAAATAGAAAAGAAGATTGTCGAAGGTCAAGCACCGCGGTTTATCATTCCTCTTCAAGATATAACTGTTTATAGCGGTTCTACAATTGATTTAGAATGTAAAGTAGTTGGTGATCCGATGCCAACAATTAAATGGTAAATTTAATTGGGATTTATACATGGGTATCACGATTGTTATCGGTAGAGCATGCATGCACTTGGGGGTGTAAGGTTTACTAAACAATTCTTAAATCCTTTGATTTAGGTCCAAGGATGGTATGGTACTTCGTGATGATTCACGTTATCAATGGGAGATAGATGCTACAGCTGGTACCTATCGGCTGAAGGTTCGAATTGCTGTAATTTTTCGTTTACGTTAATCTTGATGTTTAATAATTTTGAAGCATCTGGAGTTTAAATAACTAATACCACAGGAGTTAATTCATTAAAAAATAATCGTGTGATTTTCGAATTATAATAATTAATAATTTAACTGCAAAAATGTTCACTTCTGGTGGTCCTAAAACATTTTCTGTTTTAGTAATCGCTTTACATTAAAGTGTCATTTAAGCAGAAATTGGAAATTTTAACAATTAAAGTTAAAGAAAATGTTGCATTCCATATTAGTTTGGAAAAAAAAAAAAAAAAAGAAAATGTGAATAAATCGAAAAGCGTTCAGATTAACGATGCGAATGTAAATGACGAGGGCTCATATCGATGTGTTGCAACGAATTCTGCTGGTTCAGCTACCACGAAGTCATTCGTCAGGATAGATGGTACAATATCTCTAAAATATTTTGATTGTAATTTCTTCAATCCGAATCATCCTCAGATACTTGGTCAAGCTCACTGATCCACAATAAATTGTAATCTCTGATTAATTGTACGCATTTCTTAAAGTATGACTCTTCAGATGGGAGCTTTATTCAAATGCCATCTTCCAGCGAACCGCCTCATTTCACCATTGCTTTGGGTGATGCACGTGCCATTGAAGGTACGTTTTCTGCTTTAGTTTTATACTTCAAACAATTAATTCGAGGTTTCATTTCAGGTGTTTCAGAAGATTTTGTAGAATACTCAATCTTTTGCGATTTCTCACAAATCTTTTCAGGTCAACCGTTGAAATTGGAGTGCAAGATAGAAGGAGCCCCTTTGACAGATCTTGTTTGGTACAAAGACGGTGAACGAGTCATTCCTGATGATAGAATCAAGATTGAATCGGATTCAGATGGACGAACACGTCTTGTTATCATTTCATCCAATGCAAATGATGGAGGCATGCTTTTAAGGATGAATTAATGGTTCAACATAATTTCGAGTATACCGTTAATAAACACAAATAGTTTGGTATTTGAAATAACTCTTCAATTGCACACTGTAATTGAAGTTACCTTAATTTCAGGTCTGTACCGAGTAATTGCAATCAATCCGTTTGGTTCAGCACATAGCAAAGCTACTGCAACGGTAAAGAAGGTGCTGGAAGACACGACCAATGGTTTCATGGATGGGTAAGGGTTTTTCCGAGATTTATGAGAAGTAGAAATAAAAAAACACCGATAGCTAGCGTAGAACATGTGGTTCTCCAACGCTTTAATGTAGATTTCCTGAAAAGTTATATCAGTTTCCCTTATACTATCAGTGGTCACATATGATATCTTGACTTTAATCAGTTAGATTGCAGTAAAATTAATTTTCTTCTGCTGCACTCTATCTGTTTCATTCATTTGATCTATCAGACTATGCTTAGGTCCAGATCTGAATTGAACATTTAAACACTTTACACTTTTCAGCGACAAATTCGATGCATATCGTGCTCCACGTGTCATTATACCACTTGAGAGTATCAAAGTTGTGGAAGGTAGCGATTTTACATTACGTTGCAAATTTAGCGGTGATCCACGTCCAAAAATCAAGTGGTTCAGAAACGGTGAACGTGTTTACTCCTATAATCACTGTACTTTGGTAAGTTTTGGTCAAAAAGAATTTTTCTACGAAGTCTAAAAATTTCACACTGAATTGCTATACCATTAACCTATACAATAACTAATCTATCTTATTTGTTCGACCGATATAAATTTATTTGAACCTATATGACTAAGGAACTGTTTTACAGACTGAAAATGAAGATGGTAATTGTGAGTTAATCGTCAAAAACGCTAATCGATTTGATAGCGGTTGTTACCGATGTGTTGCAGAGAATATCTATGGCTCCGATAGGACTATATGTGAAGTCGCTGTACAATGTTAGTAGTTGAATTTTACTTATAAACTCTAGTTATGATTATTATTGTCTAGTACCTAAGAATCGAACGATCAATATGTCAGTTTTATTTGCGCGTAATTTACCGCCAGCATTGGGATTTGTATGGAACTTTGACTAAGAAATACTGGTTTGTTTTTCTTGATTCACTTACTTAAGTTAAATAAAATTTTGCAGTGAAAGAAAAGAAACCACAACGTAACTTCGAGGATGAAATCCGTGAAGGTAATGCACCAGGCTTCTCTGTACCACTTGCCATGAAACGGGCTAAAGCAGGTGATACCGTTATCCTAGAATGTGTCCCATATGGCAAACCATTCCCAGAAATTAAATGGCTCAAAGATGGCATTGAAATTGAAATCAGTGACAGAACTATGGTAATATGGCTTTTTTTTTTTTTTTTGTTTAACTATTTGGAATAATTCATTTCAAAGCAAAAAATTTTAATAAATCATTTGAATTTTCCTGGTTTTTTTTTTCTAGTAGAAACAGTGCAAATGTTCAAAACTTTTAGATTGAAAGTTTGGATGATAGAACACAGCGTATCATTTTAAAAGATGTTGATTTCTTTGCGGAAGGCTTCTATCGATGTGTAGCAACCAATGAATACGGTACTGCTTCTACGAAAGGCGAGGTTGCACTTGAAGGTAATTTTGTCAGTTTTCCTTAACAATCTTGGTTGATGGATGATTTTTGGATTATGCAAATAATTTTGCTTTAAATAACGACCTAATTTGTTATAACATCAAATGCTGTTAAAATGTAGCCTTGTTCTTAGTATATTAGACAGTTCGTACGGCCAATATGGCCAGACTGCCTCTTTAGTGCCCTTTTTTCATAAATGCTATAAATATTTTCTATAAATTTCATGTCTTCTTCCTGAAATGTTGATTTTGATCAGTTCGAAATACTATTACTTCAGGTGATCGAACATTGTTAGCAAGGAAAATGGAACCACTGATTGATGAGGAGCCGATAGAAAGCAAACCACGTGTTCGTCGTGGTCTGTATAACATAAGTGTACATCAGGTATAAGTTAATTCAATCTCTTTATGAAAGAATTCTTTCTTCACTTTGGTAAATTAGTAAGTTTAGTAACTTTAGTAAAGTTAAAAGTAAGTTGATTTCAGGGTAATACTATTGAAATGCAAGTATGCACGTCAGGTTGGCCAACTCCGGCTGTAAAATGGTTTAAAAATGGCCACGAACTAAAATCCAGTGGACCAGACGGTCCAGTTGTGGTATGGACCGATGAACGCGGCATCCATCATTGCATAATTCTTAATGCCTCACCGGAAGATGAAGCGGAATATGCTTTGGAAGCTACCAACAAACTTGGCATGGCGCGAACTGAAGGCGCTATAACACTTATCAGGCCAAGAGAAGTACCAGGCTATGAAGATGATCGAGATAGGTAAACAGCAGTATTCTTTTATTGTTAGTTACGATCTAAGCTGAAGAGGAACTGGCTCGATGGTTCGTTTTATGAATTATGATTGATTGGTTGTTCCTGGTTTTGCCGAATAATGAAGTTTGCAGAGGTGGCATGCTGTATCCTCCAGGGTTTATTCGTCAACTCAAAAACAAGCATGTTTTCTCACATATGCCAACAATATTTGATTGTCTCGTAGTCGGTTATCCACCGCCTGAGGTAAAAGATTTAAAATTAAATCTTTTAAGAGAAATTTAAGAATGAAATTGCGATTCAAAACCAAATTTTGATTGGAAGTTCGGTTGTTTCAGGGGATCTAATATTGAAGACCGTCATTTGAGATGTAAAGAGGAACATGGCCAAGACCCTAACTCAGTCCGAGATTAAAGTTTAACGATAGAAATCAAATTTAATTACATGTAGCAAGTTTATGATTTACTATTCAGGTTGAATGGTTCCATAACGGCAAAAAGATAATACCTGGTGGTCGAATACGTATTCAGTCCTGTGGAGGTGGATCACATGCCATCATCATCATGGATACACTTCCAGAAGATGCAGGCGAATATGTAGCAATTGCTAAGAACTCTCAAGGACAAGCTTCAAGTAGTGCGGTGCTGGATGTAACTGGTAAGTAGTCAAAGTGAATTTTAATAGATTTAGCTTTATGCGCAAATGAGATTTCTAGGTTACTTTATTTTTTCAGCTTTTTTGAATCCAAGTCTTCCGGAATAAGAAAAATTCTTCATACATTCTCGTTTTGTCCTTTTCAAAACTTCATTGGCTTTTGCTCTTCAAGAATTTATTTAGTACCACTTCTCGATTCTATCAAATTTGATGGTTCAGTGGATGTTACACCTTACTTGACGGAAGAATATGGTTTCAAGAAAGTTCCACATCACAGTAAGTCTTTAAACTCTTTTCAAAGTTCAGTCAAAAGTTCGCGTGATACTAGGAAATCATGTTTTTAATCAATTATATTGATTGTTACAACGAAATCCTAGGCATCCCAACGCCACCAGATCGTGGTCCATTCATTAAAGAAGTTACTGGACATTACTTGACACTTTCATGGATTCCAACTAAGAGAGCCCCACCACGATATCCTCAAGTAACATATGTCATCGAAATACGCGAATTACCTGAAAAAGATTGGGTTCTGGTAAGTACTTTTCAAATCTCAAAAACCCAGTGTTGTGGATTTGAGAATTATGAAAGGATAAAGATTCATCATCATCAGTACCTCTTCTGAATCATTAGTACACTTTCTGTGATAAATGTAGTGATTGTGATTTTAATTCTCGGCTTTAAAATTAAATTCGACAGCTTGCTTTTCATTAAAAACAATTTTAGCTTGATTATAACATTCCGGAGCCAGTGTGCAAAGTTCGAAATCTGGAACTTGGTAAAAGTTACCAGTTTCGAGTACGTGCGGAGAATATCTACGGTATCAGTGATCCATCACCTGCTTCACCACCATCTCGGCTGATGGCACCTCCGCAGCCGGTACTTGATAAGAACAAGCGAGTTATTCCACTACTTGACCCGTACGCTGAGCGAGCTCTTGATCAGGCTCATGCTGAACAATATGGTACTGCTGTTTACTTCTAAATATCATTTTACTCCGCAGAATTTCTGCAATGCCAGAATGATACAGATCGAAAGAGGTCGAAGTAGAGCTAGATATGTGATCGAATAATATCAGAGTATAGTTACATTTCAGTAAATGAGGATTTTTTGATCTAAATTTTCAGCATGTGCACCATGGTTTGCTCCTGGTGTTAAAGAAAAACGATTCTGCGCAGAAAATGATATGCTATCAATAACGCTATGTGTATCCGGTTATCCTGATCCGAAGATTGTTTGGAAATTCCGTAACATGGATATTGATACGGGACCTACATCTCAGTAATATACTGCTTTCCATTTCCTACCATGACTCATATCTTAAGAACTCATTTAATTAAACAATTTATTAATAATGCTTTTTCTTGCTGATTTTTTTTCTTTACTGATTTGCTCATTTTTGTTCTATTTACTTGTTTACCAAAGTCTCAATGACATTACAGAATTCGTGTACTAACTCATGCTGGTATGGAAACAACACTCACAATAAATGGATTTAGTAAGGAAAATGTTGGACAATATCAGTGTATTGCAACTAATCAGTATGGCGAAGCCCAGCAAAATGTCCTGGTTGATCTCGGTGGTATGTTTTCGAGATTTTCTAATCTTCCGGAACGTTGTGGATTTTATAATACTAATAAAAGGTATTTCTCTGATAATTTCAACTTCCTGAGTTGATAATTTAAGCGGTTAGGCAGTTTAATTTTTTATTTTTTGATTGTTATGTCGAAATTTTAAAACGTTTGTAAAAATTATCAATTTAATCTCATAACTTTTGTCTTTCGCAGCACGACCAACGTTTATCCAGCCTTTGATTAATAAAGTCGTTCCCAATGGTAAACCTCTCAGGCTTGATGTACGTGTTGAAGGAAGTCCTTTTCCGGAACTCAAATGGATGAAGGCAAGTTCACGTTTCATGCTAATTAAAATTATGACTTTCATAAAAGTCCATTTTTTAGCTTTATCCTGGGTTATGGTAATTTAACCATTTTAAAAGAATTGCTGAGATAGATTCCCTTTTTTTAAAAAAAAGTATCATTGAAGTAGCTGTATTTTTCAATGTACCAGTTGTGATTTTTGTCAACTATGATGATATAAGAGTGATATCATCATCCATGCTAATATTTAGCGCAAAATGCAAAGATATCTGCATTTGAATTACTAATTATGCAAGCTATTTTTTAAGGATTGGCGACCAATTGTAGAATCATCCCATGTTAGCTTTGTATATGAAGGCTCTCTATGTTCACTGATCATTAAAGATCCGTTGTGGTGCGATTGTGGAATTTATTCCGTTGCAGCCATAAACGACGCTGGCACAACAACAACGTCATGTTCAGTAACTATTGAAGGTTGAAATATTTTATTATTATCAGTACAACTTGGGAATAAGAGGATCGGGTTTGGAAAGTTGTTTCAGGATTTGATGGGCGATACCAAGGCTGACAATATCCACATCATTTTGGTTAATGCTTTAAAAATGAATATATGATATATATTAAGTGAGGTATAAAGACATATAAATAAGTTTAGAACGTTGTACGTTGTAAGATTAGCAAAACTAATAGCAGTAGATAAAGTTATTGATTGCTTTGTGAACATCGTATCTTTTTTACCGAACTGCTGGATAAGCAATAGAAATGTTCATTATTTCCCAAAGGTTACCTACTTCGTTAGCTTATTTCTGATTAGATTTTCAGGTCGAATTTCAATCAATTTTCCCTTCGTTTCAATTTTTTTCCATTTTTTTCTTTTATTTAACTATACTAATAATTCATTTTTTACAACGTCAGAAATAAACGATATAATTGTGTATACTAGGAATTACAGCTTTTAGTAATTCCAAAGCAATCTTACCGAATTTTTCAAAATGACTTTATCGTCATTCGCTACTAACGTCATTCGCTACTAACTATAGCTACTAACTAAGCAATACGGTATAACGAATAAAATGAGACATCGAGTATTATCATATCATTTTAATGTTTTCAAATTTCTGTCTAAATTTAATCTTCAATATTTTTTTCGAAATTTCAGCGGATGGAGACTTTAGCATGATGCATGATATTCGGAAGAAAAAACCCCGCGTAACGTTGGAAGCTCGTAAAGTTCGAGAAATTTATGAAATCGATGAAAACGATGAGAAGTACAAGTATAATACTTCAGAATGAGGCATACTCTCTCTCTCCCTCTCATTCCTCTTTCCACTTATATTGGATAAGTTTAAGTTAACTCAGATGTTTTTGCTTCAGAATCTTCTAACTACGAGGAATCTCGCTTCTATTTTCCCCAAAATGAGGCAAGAATTCCTCTTCTTCATTTCCTACGGTTAACGTCTATTTCAGCAATCAGAGGAATAATCATTTTGTGCTATGCTATCGTTCAAATCGTTTTTATATTAAATGTTAATTTATCATCTATTCAGGCTAAGCTGCACTAGTTATACTGTTGATGTAATTTCTATTCTGTGATAACCTTAATTCATTAATTGATCGATTTTTAACGCACTGATTAAGGAGGATACATCGTGGAAATGTGTGGCTTGTTTCAGCAAATTTGCATTGGTATTTGGAAGATGAAAATTTCAGTTCACATAAATTTGGCTAATTTCGGAAATTTAAAACAGTTTAAAGAGCATGAAACAATTCTTTTTTTTCTTTGTGTTGAAATTAAGTCACTATTCTTCTACATGTTCCTTTGCGATACATTTCGAAAAAGGCTGCCAATAAATTTTAAAAAATGAAAATCTTTCATTTCTGCAATATTTTACTTTCTTTGACAAAATGAAAAAGTGTGACTGTTTGTGCACAGATGACATATGCCTTGCAATGGGTGTTGTTATAGCTTTCTGCTTCCTTTAATTCCACTTTTTTCCCGGTTGCTGAGTTTCAGCCATTCAAGACTTTTAACCTTTTAGCTAGATCTAGACTTGATGTGAAATTGTGATGATGAATACTTCGCCGGTGCTCCAAGCCGTCCTCAATGAAATTTCGCGTGGAATTTAGATTCTTTGTTTCTTTTTTAGATAAATAATCCAAATTTTGTGCACTGATTGCTAACTCTTCTTTCCCCAGCAAGAAACTTAGGATGAAATGGCATGAGGAACTTTCAGATTCCAATGAAAATTAAACTAGCAAAATTTTAAAATGAGTTCATATTCTGAGTTTCTTGCGCCAAACAAATACAGAAAGCTAAACAAGGCCTCAGCACAAAAAAAGCTTTTTCTCTTGTCAATAAAGTAGAATGCTGCATAGAAATGGAAATTTTTGGTATGAAAATTATCGAACAATGAGTCTAGCTTTTGAGATTTAAATTATGGGTTAAAAAATAAAATCCTGGGAATACGGTGCAATTTTGGAATTTCGGAATTTAAATTAATCTCAGTTTGGTGAATTTCTTTATGATTTTAAAAAAGTGAATATATGAGAAATTTCTTTCTTCACTGGTGCGAGAGAGAGAGTTGCAGCATTTCCTATTTGAAGGTTCAATGTTTAATGTTTGGTTGATGCTGTATCAAGGTACCAACTGAAACATTAAGCACCCAAGTAAATTAGGTCAAAACGAGGTCTTGTTTATTGTTTTCTGTATTTGCAGAGCTGCAGCCGCTGGAGCACCATTTCATGTCACCGAAATTGCCACCCGTAAACGTTTCCTGGCCCAACTGCGTGCACTGGACGAAAATTTAGCCCGTAACATTGAAATCCAAAATAATTTGGACCATCCAAATATTATACAGTTTCATCAGGCCATTATGGATCAAGGCATTGCTGTTCTCATCTATGAAAAGTAACATTTTATATGGCTAGCAAAGAGAAATTAGCATAGAAGAAGTCCCAAGGTCAAAATCAGTTCGAGAAAACCTAGAAAAGTCTTGAATCAACTCAGAAATGATACAGTAACTGATTAGCTTTCCGCTTATTTATCCACTCTTTTTCTGCGAAAAAAAAAGGAAAAAAGAAAAAAAGTTTCATTTACATTCAACTCAAAAAGCTTTTGCGCTTGGGGGCTAAATTTTTGTCAAAATTTTGTCAATTTTCCTATCCTGTTTATCTAAGGAACTCAATCCGATCTCATTTTCCTGGAAATTAACAGAGTCAATATTTGAACGCACTTTCTTCTAACTTCTTCCAACTTATTCTTCCAGTTATTCGGGCTATTGATTTCTTAACTGATCAGTTAAGCAGGATTCGGAGATGGATTCTGTGACTTTGAAAACTAAGCTATTATAAATCCGGAAATCTAGAAAACGTTTAATTCCTTAAATTCACGTCGAACTAATTTAATCTAATTCGGTATAGTAGTGGTAAGAGGCATAGTGTCAATGGAGAAAATGGATCATTTCTTTCCGAAATAATGAGATAACAGCAAAGTTAAAAAGCAGCTAGTAGTTCTAAAGTGAATTGGAAGCAAACATTTCACTTCTATCTTATTCACCAGAAAAAACTGAAGTGATCAAACAGGTATGACGGAATAATTCATTGCAGTCATTCCAATCAGTAGCCTCTTCAGATGAATAAATAGAGCTAGAGAGGCAAATGTTTTGTAAACAGTTTCTTTTTAAAAATCCTTCATTTTTTTGCAAACGAAAACTCGACTTGGGTATTGGCCAATTTGCTGAGTTTTAGGCCAAGTCTTGCAATTAATACACTAAAAAAAATCAAAAGTCTTCCAATACTCCTCTTCAACTCTTTCTACATGTTCATGTGTTCCTATCTTTTTGGTCCCTACAGCCTTTGAGTAATCAGTGAATTCACATTAATTAACCAAACCACGCAGGGGGTACCTATACACGTGATTTGCACGCACTTAAGAACGATCGGTCAATTCAGTTACGCACGTATATGTATCAAGAAAAGAACTGTCGAAAAAGGCACATTCATGAAAAGAATAAATTTCATCGTATACTATGAAGAAAATTAATAAAAATTTATGTAATAACATAATTAGTTGGAACCTTATCGCAATTTATATGAAACCGTTTATGTAATTGTTGAGGATTTAAATTCTAAGAGATTTTCGACGGTGTTTGGAATTAGCTGATCAAATTTTAGGATGTAATAATTGATACTGTGGTAGTTGTTAACCTTTATTTTCTGATAAGTAGAAAAAGAAATTTAGTGGAAAGGAGCAAATCTGTAACTTTAAACAGGTTCAGGCTTAGAAGACAAGATTCAGTATGTACGTAAATCCAAGCGTTTATTTAGTAGCCTTTGTAGAGATATAACGTGAACATTTTAAAGTTAAATTTTTTTGAAAGCTTAAAATAAAATAATAGGAGTGGGAGATACGGTGCATCAAAATAAAATGAGTAGTATCGAGCATTCAATGCCTGGAAAATCTGAGGCAATGTGGGAATGAAAGAAGAGGTGCAGGTCGTTTGCATCATTCAACTCTAGAAGGATATATATATGTATATATATATATATATATATATATATA